CTCACAGCTTATCCTCCAGACTTATAAACTGTCTTAACCTCTTTCTTTGTTGGCTGCAGAATAACTTGACTGTATTATTTCCTAGCAGGTAAGAAGCCACAAGGGTAGGTAGGAAACAGGCAGAAGGAATATTCTGGGCAAGAAGGTACAGGTACTCCATATTAACTAAATAACACTTTGTGCCGACAGCCTTTTTAAGGAACGATGCAGAAAAACAGGCCGTAGTGTTCAGAGAAATAGGACTACTACTACCGAAGAGCGGAAATCTCCTGCTGTGACTGCCTTACAGTGGTGCTAGTGTTACTCATCGTCATCATAAGAGAAATAGGACAGTAACACTGAAACCTTCTGTGATGTAAATTAAAAAACAGACATAAACACACAACGTACTCTGTCTGAAGGGGGGAAACAGCAGACGCACAAACACAGTAAGATCCAGCCTCGGGCATGAGAACTGTTTGAGTTGTTGTTTGTCAGCTGCTTGCAGATCTGGCAGTATATCTCATCTCTTAATGCACAAAATGAAAAAAATATTTTTGGCACTAAGTTAAAAAAAAATACAACCATGTTTGTGTTAAACACACCTAAGTAACTATAACAATCTTCAAGCAACAAAAAATCCAAATGAGTTCAATGTCATTTAAATCTGGCAAGAAATCTCATCCTTAAACACACAAAAAGGAATATATGCCTCTGAGCATTTTGTATATTTTTTAATACATTTTTTTCAACGGACTGCCAGTTTGACATGTCTACAGTAAAGCATTTGTTTCCATGCCAGGAGATTAATTAGGCATACAGTGCCAGCCTTCTAGAGATCAATCAGCACTTGAGGGGTGACCTCTCTGAGTCACTTCCTGTCCGCTATCTTACTCCCATAATGAAACAAAAACCTACAGCCTCCACTGTTCAAACGTGAATGGATATTTTGTGACAAGCCTCACTGTAAAGCTAAGTGATTTTATGTACTGTATTTGTAGTTGTATAGTTGACACTTTGTGCCACACGCTGAGGAAAGCTTGTCATTCATGACTCTGGCATTGTGACTATGTCTACTTCTCATTCAGATAAACATTTTGTCAGAGCTTGATGGGTGCTGCTGTTGATTTCATGCTGCCTCCCCCCCACCCCCACCTAATTTTCTAGAACAGTTCCTAGTAGTAATGTGAGCAGACAAGAGCACAAGTCACTGCACTACTAGTTTATTTTCTGAATTAAACACAATAAAAAAATGATAATAATATCTCAGTATTCAATTTTGTTTGTTTGTTTGTTTGTTTGTTAAATTACCACACCCTAGTTAACTCTTTGGGAGTCACTGTGGCGTTGGCAGCTAGATGTCCGCCTGTGTGATGGAGCCAGACTTTTTTTCCCCAGAAATGACCTTGACTCCCAGGTCGACACAGCCTTGAGTATGCACCAGGTGCAGTACTGGGAAGTAAAGGTGACTGGCCTGATACTGACCACATCACCCACCAAGTGCCAATTGGTTTATAAAAACATCGGACTAGCCCTATATTCCCAATATGCCTAAAAGCCTGGAAAAGGGAACTTTACTTTTAGAGTTAACTCTTTGAGTCCCAGTGGGTTTAGCATCAAAGGCCTACGGGGTAGTAAAGAGACACATGCAATTGGTGCACCATGCGTTCATTGGGCTTCTAGGTAGGAATTTATGAACGTATGACGTGTTCCTCAGGACTCAAAGAGTTAACACAACAAATTACTCGTCTCGAAATTAAATTTTTTTTTTTCTCACAATTCTGCTAACAATCTTAACATAACATATTCATGCAACCATATCAAGACAACAGGATTAAAATAATTGTCTCAATACTCAATAAAACAATATTATTATAACCATACCACCTAAATATCACAGGCTAAACACAGCAGATAAGTGAACATTAGGGCCTTATTAAAACAACTACAACAAACTTTTACCTCAGTTCTGGTCTCAAGATTCCATGACCAATTATGAAGTGCAGTTTTTCCAGGTTTGACATAGGTCTATCGTCAAGCAAGGCATTTCCTCCACCACTCACTCCACCGATTGTCATAGCCACCATGCTGCAAGCGAGTGGTCACATCTTCTGTGATCTTTGACCTCTTTTTTAAGGTCAAGGACACAATCTTTTTCCGTGTTGATTTTTTGCCCGGGTTGTGTGCGTATGGGATGTTTGTGGCTTCTTTTTCCTAATGAAGAAACATACAAACAGAATCAGAAATGAATATGAAAGTTTTTTGTTTTTTTTCAACAGTCACAGTCACTGGCAGAGATCAAAACAAGAATTGCCATGGCAACAGTGGCCTTTTGCAAGGTACAAAGGAGACTAACCAATAAAAAGATGCCAACTGCAGTGAGGGGGAAAAAAAGTTTTAAAATGCTATACAGAAACTATGCTAAGGGACAGTAAACACTGTGAGACTTTCAATTCCATGGAAAATGACTTTTCACTGAATTGACTGCATACCCTGGGTGTACCAACTGGAGCAGCAAGACAAGAAAACCATGTGGAAGCCACCCGTCATTACATCAACAAGAAAAGAATTTGAGTTGTTAGTCTAAAAACACTCTGAGACATACTCAGGAGATCAGAACACTTATAGTCATGTCCGATGTGCACAAAGAAGATCCTACAATGAACAATAGAAACTGTGCAGATGAGTCATCAACAATAAGCAGACAAGTGGAAACACACTTACTCACAGGGGAGAATGTAAAGAGTATAAGGGAATAATAGATAGAGGTAAAGGGTGAGAGGATCGACTTCACTGCACTGGGTTTTATCACATATGGCTCAGTCTCTCTCTATAGAACAGCTTGGAATAATAACTCTTTGAGTCCCAGAGGGTTTAGCATCACAGGCCCAAGGGGTAGTCAAGAGAGACGAATAATCAGTGCATCATGCGTTCATTGAGCTTCTAGGTAGTAACCTATGAACCTATGATGCGTTCCTTGGGACTCAAAGAGTTAATAGAAATGGAATATAGAAATGAAATAACAGAAATGAATACTAGGAAAACAAATCAGGCAGTCCTACATGAAACAAATGAAAACCAAAAACTGGTTAGAGAAATTAGATGTAGATAGTGTTTTTTTGTTACTACAAGGAAGATCCAAACTGGCAAGCCCTGACTAGAATGAGTTGACAGCATCCAGAAGTCTCACCTCAACAAACTATCTTGGCCAGTGTGGGCATATGATGCTAGACACATATCCATATATATATATATATATATATATATATATATATATATATATATATATATATATATATATATATATATATATATATATATATATGTATATATATATATATATATATATATATATATATATATATATATATATATATATATGTATATATATATATATATATATATATATATATATATATGTATATGTGTATATATATATATATATATATATATATATATATATATATATATATATATATATATATATATATATATATATATATATATATATATATATATATATATATATATATATATATATATATCACATAGTCCATCCGACACATCCATTAACAACTGTCTTTACTTCCAAGGACATTACCTAGTACCCACTGTAGGTTGGATCACCTAAACAGCCAAATGAATCTACCTCAATGTGAATTCTAACCTTTGACCTTTGGGCTCACGGGCGAGTATTAAGCCAATATGGAAAATAAAGGAATTGAGAAAATAAAGACTTCCAAGTGAAACCCTAAAATAAATGTTGATGCGAGAGACTAAAGGTGCTGGAACAGATTCCATCCAGAATGTTGAAGCAATTGCACCAGAAAAAACAGAATGGAGAAATAGACTGCAGACCCTACATGACATAGAATGGCACAACAGAACAGTGATAAATCATGGGTTTTCTTAAAATGGTTGTCAGGCTGAAAAACACAGATGCTGCTGCAGCCCAGCAGTAAACCACACTACAATGCCCAACTGCCTTTTTAAGGGGTGAATGCAGAAGTCTATTTTTTGGCTTCCCTTACTGGTCCTGCCATCAAGTTAACCAAAATTACAGGCAGATATCCTAGAGCGCAAGTTAAATAAATAGACTAAAGCTCTCACCATTTCTTCGCCCATTTTCATAGCTTCCTCCAAATCTTTCTTGTTAAACTTGCGTCCTAAAGTTGAGTAGATCTTGGTCATCACTGGTGTACTGTCCTGAAACAAGGTATGTTTGTAAAAATAAACAGTATCATTTTACCAGAATAGATGTCCTGTTTTTAAAAAAGTGTGGCTCGTTAAAAACCATTTGTTTTGTCCAAAATAAAATACTGTTATTGTAGCTATGCTAATCTGTAACAAAAAAACAATTGGTTTAGTAAAAAAAACAAAAAATTGTCTAAGAAAGTATGTAATTTATATGTTAACAAATAAAGGCTTCAGTAACATCGCTAGTCAAACTAACGCATAACGCTTTTGCCTAGTGTATGATTTCTGATGTGTTTTAATAGGCCCTTTCTCTGGGCCTGCCAGCTTGAATACCTGCCTGTTCGTCAGTCTATTTCACTAACTAGCATGGGAATGCTCAATGTGTAGTGACGTTGATCATCATTATATAACAGTTCACTAGCTCATTCTCTCACATACTCTCTTCCTCAGCCATGATAAGCACACTATCTTTCTTTTCCTCAGCCATGATAAGCACACTATCTCTCTCTTCCTCAGCCATGATAAGCACACTATCTTTCTCTTCCTCAGCCATGATAAGCACACTATCTCTCTCTTCCTCAGCCATGATAAGCACACTATCTCTCTCTTCCTCAGCCATGATAAGCACACTATCTCTCTCTTCCTCAGCCATGATAAGCACACTATCTCTCTCTTCCTCAGCCATGATAAGCACACTATCTCTCTCTTCCTCAACCCTAATATCCACACTATCTCCCTTCCACCAGCTGGAGGACCTACCTTGGCCTCTGTTGTGTTTGCATGATATCTTGGTTCTGGCAGATCTGACATGAACCGGAGAATAACTATCCACACTGCAAGGGCAGCCTGTCATGTAATGCAAACAGAAAGAACACAACATGAACACAGATTTTCAGAACACAATTCACAATTTTACTCTCAATAGTTAATGTCATTGCCATAACACAGAAGCTCACTTCACCTCCTCTGTCAGCAAATGCAATGAACTTGATTTTCTCACGTTTGAGGTCTGTCCATATAGCTAAATCATGAATGCAGATTTTTTATTGATCTGCCTCTTTTCCTCTTCCTGTCTACAGAATAATAATAGTTAAAAGTGATTCATTTCATTTTTTTATTTCATAGAATTTTTAATGACTCTGCACATGAGAGAGAGAAAGAGAGAGAGAGAGTGAGAAAGAGAGAGAGAGAGAGGGTGAATATAGCAATGATATAACAAATGCAGTCATTTAAAGTGTAAAGACATCAAAAAAAACTTTTTTCATGCCTTCATACAGGGCATATAAGGCTAGATCTATATTTAATAGACCAATCAGTGCTCACTGGTTGATGTGGTAAACATAATGTCAGCCATTTTTACTTCTCAGGACTATACTTGGTACCCATTTAAAGTTGGGTCGACCTGTGAGCCAAGGTCAACTTTACTATACTTTTTTACCATGAAATCAGTACTATGACTGTAAAAAAATTATTTTTAATATTATCTAACCAGAGTCCTTCCCAGTTTTTCTTCTTTCTCTTGTAATCATTCTCTGATTTATGCTGACAGACAAGTTCTTGTGATAAGCTTGGCTGTTTTTAGGAGTTCCTTTATAGTTGCATACAAGCCTGAGTACAGTGGGCCAGTATTCCATTCTTGGGCACAAAGGTGAACTAATTATAATTAGACACAGCATATGTTTGTTAAGCTTGTTATGTCCTGTCCTGAGGTGTAGAATGATGACCTGTTAACTCTTTGAGTCCCAGAGGGTTTATCTTCACAAACCCAGGGGGTAATAAAGAAAGTAATAAAATTGGCGCATCATGCGTTCATTGGGCTTCTAGGTAGTTCTTTGGGACTCAGTTAATGCCCATCAAGTAAGTGCTGGTCATCACTGGCCAGATTTTGTTCACTTCTATTAATTTTGCAAGGAAAGACCAACCTCATAACACAATTGTATCTCAACACTCACCAACTGATCACGCCTTCACTGTTAAGAGGCAAAAGTGGTTGCCGGAGAGCTTTGCGGATGTGAGTGTGGGTGGCATTGCCCTGGAAGTACATGGCGGCAAACTTGGAGAATTTGTACTCAGAAACATCCATTTCTGTGTTGTAATCTGCACCAGATGATGCGAGCATGGTGCTGTTTTCAGGATTCATGAATTCTGCTGGAGTTGGAATACCCTGGGGGAATAAAATAACATTTAACTCTTAGCACTACCATCATAATCCTTATGTGCAATGTGTTTAAGCATAAATGGGCACAGCTGATGATACCACACGATTATCAGAGTTTTGGGCTGAGGGTGTCAGGAATGGATGGCTGGGGAAATAGAAGCACTGGTTCAAGAATTGATGAATTAAAATTCACACTCAGGTTATATCATTTTATACCATGATGGATCTGTAGTGCCTTGTATCACTTGATAAGACCCAGATTAAGAAGCACATCATAAATTTGCTGGCCATGAAATGGGGGTGTTGATGGTAGTAAGCAAACTGATAGATTAGCTGCTGCAGCCCCTATAGGTATGGGCTACTGTAAAATAAAGCAGATGTTAAGGTGCCCTGGGATCAAGTAAACAGTGCAGGAAAAAGAGAGCACCCATGTCTGGAGAAAACGATTCAGCTGGGAGTCAGCTGGGAGTCAGCTGGGAGTCAGCTGGGATTCAGCTGGGAGTCAGCAGAGAGTCTGGAAGATTTTTTACCACAGGAGAAAACACAGACCAGCTTTCAATCAGGTTGCAGCTGGTAGCATCAGTATGGGAACTTTTCCTTGAGGACAAGGATGGCTCGTGTATGGGAACTTTTCCTTGGCTGAGGACAAGGATGGCTCATGTATGGGAACTTTTCCTTGGCTGATGAGGACAAGGATGGCTCATGTATGGGAACTTTTCCTTGGCTGATGAGGACAAGGCTGGCTCATGTATGGGAACTTTTCCTTTGCTGATAAGGATTAGGATGCCTCATGTATGGAAACTTTTCCTTGGCTGATGAGGACAAGGCTGGCTCATGTATGGGAACTTTTCCTTGGCTGATGAGGACAAGGATGGCTCATGTATGGGAACTTTTCCTTGGCTGATGAGGACAAGGATGACTCATGTATGGAAACTTTTCCTTGGCTGATGAGGACAAGGATGGCTCATGTATGGGAACTTTTCCTTGGCTGATGAGGACAAGGCTGGCTCATGTATGGGAACTTTTCCTTTGCTGATAAGGATTAGGATGGCTCATGTATGGGAACTTTTCCTTGGCTAATGAGGACAAGGATGGCTCATGTATGGGAACTTTTCCTTTGCTGATAAGGATTAGGATGGCTCATGTATGGAAACTTTTCCTTGGCTATTGAGGACAAGGATGGCTCATGTATGGGAACTTTTCCTTGGCTGATGAGGACAAGGATGGCTCATGTATGGGAATGTTCTGGGTGTAGTGATGTCAAGTCTTGATTCTGGATCAGGTATATGTGCATGAGCTGATTATTGAATTTGGCCGTTGTATCTGGATATTTTTCTTTTTCACTTCCTCTCTCTTTTCCCATGAAATGTTCCTGTTGTCACCAAGTTTTCAGTTGATTTCTCCGTGTAACATACCTTATAATATTGACTATCTCAAGTTTTCAAGTTAATTGATGATTTCTCCTTGTAACATACCTTATAATACTGAATCTCAAGTTTTTAAGTTGATTGCTGATTTCTCCTTGTAACATATCTTATAATTCAGAATCTCAAGTTTTCAGGTGTATTGAGAATTTCTCCTCATAACATACCTTATAATATTGACTATCTCAAGTTTTTAAGTTTATTGCTGTTTACAATATGCCTTAATTATAGTGACTCAAGTTTTTCCAGTTTATTTCTACTCACAACATGCCTTAAATTATTGACTGTTTCAGTTTTCAAGTTTATTTCTCCTCATAGCTAAAAGTATTGACTGTCTCAGGTTTATTTCTCCTCATCGCATGCCTAAAAATGCTGACTATCTCAGGTTTCCAAATTTATTTCTACTTGCAACATGCCTAAAAATAAAATCTCAACTGTCTATACGGTTTTCTTCTGCTAAGTCAAGGGCTGTCATGTTTGTGTTACCATCATAAAGAAGGCACCAAGTGGAACATTAAAAAATACCAAGAATCGAGATCTGTGGAGAGACATCAACGACTAAACCACTGGGCAGGGTATGTGATGATGATGTGTATGATGATGGCAGTGAAGTAGCTAACGTAAAAGTAAACTAAAGGTTCCTTTACATGCCACTGGAGCACCATGTATATGAGGCTAGCCTCATTATTCTATTTAGATACCAATCGACATTTGACCCGTGATACGATCAGTTTTATTTCACAGGACTTTATCTGGTACCCATTGGAGGCTGGGTAAACCAGATAGCCAAGGTCATGTGTGAACAATTCTGGCTCCATGCAGATCTGAATCAATCAACTGTGGATCTGCAGATAAGCAACTAGCTACCAACACCAGGGTGGCGCCCAAAGTAGCTTATGTACATGCTGACTAATGCTGGGTTCAAACCCACCTCATTGGTTGGCTGACTGGTTGTGGATAATTTGGAACCAGTTTAAACGTTCAAGCTTCACCAAAAGAGTCAGTGCCTTACAGCAAACATTGTTTAGTATTATAGAATTAAAAATAAGCTTTGGGACTGCAGGAGTTATACTAACAACTGAAAGAAATGAGTTCATACAACAGAATTATGCTCAGTGGTTCATATAAGCCAAAAAGAAAAAAAACTGGCAGACATGAAGTCAAACACAAGATCAGTCTAACCTGGAACTCTGTGTTGTTGCCACTGGATGTCTGTCCATTCTCATCCACAAACATAAACAGTTTTTCAAGCTACAAAAACAGACATAAAAGAAGCTCATTAATAATTATATTACAATGCCAAATAATTATTGATTTAGAACTCATAACTGACCAATAAGAAACCATGATGGAAGTACTGGACCTTAGTATCAGTTAAGAGGCATAGTACTGCCAGCTGTAAGTATGAAATTACATACAGTTTGCAGGTAACTAAATATGTTAAGTATTTTTTTAAAGAACAGTTATTAAATATCTTAAATATTTTAAAAGGAAATAACTTTGTCCTCTTCTTCTTCAGCATTCTAAGCCCTTGAAATTCATTGCTGCAGATATCTTCCCCCCCCCCCCTCCCCCATTCAATTTATCTCTGTGACTAATCTTCTCCAGCTCACAGGAAAACTGCCCAGCTCTGAGTCGTGATGGCTCATGCCATGATAGTTACTCCTGTGAGTTTGGGACCAATCCTGGCGCCTTTGATCAGACCAAGTGCAGCATAGTTACACTTTGATCTTAGCCAAAAGGCTGAGATACTTCAAGCGTTTGTAAATCTGTCTGTACTGTACATTGTTTCTCCACCATCTTCTGGGTCTGATTCATGGTTTACTCCCTTTGAACTCTTTTGTATTCAAAGTGTATCAATAATAGCACTAAATTACTATATCCACATGACTTGAGAATTGTTCTCCTTTCCTTATCTAAGCTCAGAAGTGCCAGATCAGTACTGGATCTGCACATCTGCACAGGCATATTAGCAGGTAAGGTCAAGGACTCTTGACATGTCTTTGGTGTATCAGACATTTCGCACTAGAGATATATTTTTACAGGCCCTCTTTACTTCCCCAGGGCATTAGCCAGTCGCCATTTTAGGTTGGGTTGACTGTGGAGCCAAGGTCAATTTTGAAACAATCTGCCAAGATATGGATTTGCCCTTATAGGCGAGTGTCTAGTCACCAGCAAATTTGGCTTCCCTATGAGCATGTCCCAGGTCATAATTCAGGGCGGTGAAATTGCTAGGATTAGACCAAGGGCAATTGTAAGAAGGCCTGTGTGCCCAATTTGTGACCCTTCAAAGTTTTTGTTGTTGTTGTTCATTCCTCAGAGTTCAGGTATTTTGACAGACTTATCCTCAATATACCAGAAGTAATTTTAACTGTTTCAGCACCAGGTAATTTGAAATAACACTTTCTAACCCACCAAGGTTATACTTCAGAGTAACAATTCTAGGCATTTAAATAGTTGAAATAATACATCAATGGGACATATGAGATGAATTAACAACTGAGATTCTATAGAATAACATTAGGTGAGAATGTAGTAGGCACAACTGAGAAATGTATACCATATATATATATATATATATATATATATATATATATATATATATATATATATATATATATATATATATATATATATATATATATATATATATATATATATATAGCGAGCAAGAGAGAGAAAGAGAGGCAGAGAGAGAGAGAGAGTAATCAATGAACTTATAATGAGTCTCTTAGTACTAAAAGAGCTAAATAGTTAAATAAAACATCTATCTTCATAGTCATATCATTTGCCAGGTTTAGTTGTGATATTTTGCTAAAATGCCTACCTACCTCAAACATGAAATAATAAGTCAAAATGTTACAGTAAGATGTGTTCCCAAAATTAAGCCAGCTAGAATTTCAAGTTTTTTTTTTTTTTAAGAAAAAAATTGCACAACCCAAAAAAATCTCACATGATATGATTTATCCATGCACTGGAAAGCTCTATGATTTACTAGCTTCAATTGTTGCCTTATCAATAGCTACTAAGCTTAAAAGAAATTAAAAATCCAAATGTGTCAGTAAAGTACAAATTGATGTAAAACATTAAAGATTACATTTCAATCCTCAGTGTTAATTTCTTGTTTTTAAAGTTAAAAAACAGATAAATAAAAGTTAGGATCTGAATATAATAAACAAAAATGCATGCTAAAAATCTGGGGAATTCAACATTTTCTCTCACAAAATGAAATAATCAAATTATCATTAAAAACAAACATAACGTGATTCAAGCAATAAATAGGAGATAAATGAAAATTACAGCACCATCTGGAGCCACAATTATAAGTAAAGCTTCATAGGACGAGGCTAGATTCCTAGGTATAGGCTGAACGTGGCTAATTCAAACTGACTTACTGATTGATTGAGTACTTTTACTAAGATTGTGAATTCATATTTGGGATTTGAAATATATGAAATGTAGAGGAGTTATATATAATGGTCAGGCATCTCAAACTTCACAGGTTAGAAGGAAAGTTAAAATTACAGAAAAAATGTGATTAATAAAACTAATGTAAAATGTCAAAATCTCTCTCTCTCTCCTCTTTCTCTCCCTCTCCTCTTTCTCCCTCTCTCTCTCTCTCTCTCTCTCTCTCTCTCTCTCTCTCTCTCTCTCTCTCTCTCTCTCTCTCTCTCTCTCTCTCTCTCTCTCTCTCTCTCTCTCTCTCTCTCTCTCAAATCAGAGGAGAAACAAGATTATTATGGCCTGGAGAGAATGAGGCACCTGGGTGTAACCAGAGAGTCTGGCCGGCTCTCTACACTCAGAGGAAAAGCAAGATCGACTTATAACTAGATTACAGTCAGAACCATTAGTACTGGAACTCTGCTCTGACTGCTGAAGATGAGGAGATGGTGCGTGCTTGGAAATGCCCTGAGTGCTGTGATGTCAATTCTTGACTCAACTCCTCCCAACTCTTTCTCCCATTTGATCTCTCTCTCTCTCTCTCTCTCTCTCTCTCTCTCTCTCTCTCTCTCTCTCTCTCTCTCTCTCTCTCTCTCTCTCTCTCATGGTCTTTAACCATTCTTCTCAGTTACTTCCATACTTCATTCCGTTTCTCCCCTCTCCCTACAGACTGGAGGAGAAAAACTGCATACCCTACCTCATCACATGATTAAGCAGCATTTTTAGGTAGCCCACAGGGACTTTTCCGCAGCCCATCAACGGGCCGCTATCGAGGGGCTGAAGAACACTAATCTGGGATACCATTATTATGTATTTAGATATATTAAGATCTCATTTGTTAGTGCCTGTTCTTGTGATGTACTGTTTAATTTCTCCCTGTAGTTCTCTAGAGCCATCTACTCCCAGATGTTTTCTACTGTCACAAGCTCAGGCAGTAGATCATAAATTCAATAGAACAGGACACAATCAACTTTGCAATCAGATGTGCAGAAAATTTAAGATTGGCAAATCAGCCATGTGGACATGTGAATTAGCACCTGAGACAACAGATCATGTCCTCCAAGACTGTCCCAGGTTCAACATATCATGGCAAAACTTTTTGAAATGAGATACACCAGTGCAAGCCAAACGTTATAGGTCACTGATTGAATGCAACAGACAGTGAAGTTCATACTAGAGAAAAACTTGCAGATATTGATAATCTATTTCCAGTGAATGAAAGAAGAAGATATATTCATTAATGGGAGTGCTTTGGAGTTGAAATGAGAAACACCAGTGCAAGCCAAACGTTATAGGTCACTGATTGAATGCAACAGACAGTGAAGTTCATACTAGAGACAAACTTGCAGATATAGATAATCTATTTCCAGTGAATGAAAGAAGAAGATATATTCATTAATGGGAGTGCTTTAGAGTTTATTTTCTATATTCTAGTGCCCTTTGATGTGTCTCTACCTTGTAGTGGTAGGTGGGTTGGTTTGTGTGTTCCCTTAACATCAAGAGCTATGAGAACAGTAGTTTAGCTACTAGTATGGTCCCTATGGCGGTCTCCGTGGCTAAGGCGTTGCGAGTCCGACTCGTGAGCCAGCATACCGCGATCGAAACCCACTGCAGGCTGCCTGGATTTTTGTCGTGGTATGGGACGTCGCAGGTCGACCCAGCCTAAAATGGGTACCAGGATGGGCTGTCCTGGGAAAGTAAAGACAGCAGGCGTAATGCTGACCACATTACCCACAGAGTGCTGATGGTCTGTAAATATATGGGACGCTCTGCCCATATGCCCGATGCGCCGAAAGGCGTGAAAAGGGATCTTTACTTTTTTTTTTTATGGTCCCTATGGGGCTAAGTTATACACACACACAAAAAGTATACCAGTTGCCAACACGGTTCAACTACTATGCTAATGTTTCTTTAACAACTGGTTTGATTACATCTTGATTAATTACTGTCTGATTACACATTCATTATTATTTTGTTAATCATTCTATGATAATCAGAAGATACATATATCCAATTAGTGTTTAATACATATGCCACTGAATAATAAAACAGATTCCAAAACCAATAATGACTAAATAAAGATTATAAAGATACAATTTAAAAAAAAATGAAGCCTTACCAACTAAAGTAAAATACAGATACTATTACATGTAAGTGTTACTACAACAAAATAAAAATATGGCAGAATGGATATTGCAGTTTAAGGACTTCTTCAGCAAAAAAAAAAAAAAAACAATATATAAAATAAAATTTTACCCTTTTCACCCCAAAATAATCTTAGAAGATAGATTTTTACAATATGTTGTCAAATACAAATGCATTCTTACAATTTTCTAAAACACTTCCCTGAGAAACTAGTGGAAGTGAAGAAGACGCAGAAGAGATTTGGAGTCTTAGTCAGGTTTTATAAAAGTTAAGAGGGTTGAACCTATAACCACCAAGCAGACGAACAAGCAAGATGGCCACTGTGGCATAGCAGCTGTCAGATCACCTAAATAATTCACAAGAAATTTTTTTTTTTATAAATGCATTTTTTTCCCCCTCAAGTAGTGAAAATCAGTCACTGAATACAGAGCAAAGAATTAACTGTTTTCCTTCCCTCTGATGAACAAAGTAAAGTCACTATGTGGTTACAACGATGTCTGATGATTTCTCTTTTTTTTTTTAATTTAATTTATTTCACCCCAGGTAACAACTCACATTTATATGTGTAAATATAATCATACCCACCATGTCTACATTACGCAACTGCAACCACCTTTTATTGAGGTGTAGTGGACACTGCCCACAGACTTCACAACAACAACAACAACAACAACAACAACAACAACAACAACAACAACAACAACAACATCAACAACAACAACAACAACATCAACAACAACAACAACAACAACAACATCAACAACAACAACAACAACATCAACAACAACAACAACAACAACATCAACAACAACAACAACAACCGTAAATTCCAGAAAACTGGCTTTCTCAGCATGACCGGTTAAAAAGGTTAATAATTGTGATCTTATTTATGTCTGCTAACCAATGCTGCAACTCGTATCTGTAACTAAGTTGTTATATCTTGGTAATAATTTAAACATTTAACCCTTTCACTACCAAACTCTAAAATTTGAGGGTAGGTGGTTTTGCATCCCCTGCAAATTTCTGAGATAGATTAAGGGAAATAACTCTGCAACACAGCTTATCAGGAATTGAAACATTGTACTAGATCAGGAGACAAGTCTCTACACACACCAATAGATACAAGCCCTCCTCTATTCCCATAGATACAAGCCCTCCTCTATTCCCAAAAATGAAAGCCCTCATCTATTCCCATAGATACAAGCCCTTCTCTATTCCCAAAGATGAAAGCCCTCCTCTATTCCCATAGATACAAGCCCTTCTCTATTCCCAAAGATGAAAGCCCTCCTCTATTCCCATAGATACAAGCCCTTCTCTATTCCCAAAGATGAAAGCCCTTCTCTATTCCCATAGATACAAGCCCTTCTCTATTCCCATAGATACAAGCCCTTCTCTATTCCCTTAGATACAAGCCCTCCTCTATTCCCATAGATACAAGCCCTTCTCTATTCCCAAAGATGAAAGCCCTCCTCTATTCCCAAAGATGAAAGCCCTCCTCTTTTTCCACAGATGCAAGCCCTCCTCTATTCCCACAGATGCAAGCCCTCAGCTATTCCCACAGATGCAAGCCCTCATCTATTCCCATAGATGCAAGCCCTTCTCTGTTCTTATAGATGCAACCCCTCCTCTATTCCCATAGATACAAGCCCTCCTCTATTGCCATAGATGCACCCCCCCCCCCCTCATTACCATAGATGCAAGCTCTTCTTTAGTCCCATAGATGCAACCCCTCCTCTATTGTCATAGATGCAAGCTCTCCTTTATTCCCATAGATGCAACCCCTCCTCTATTGTCATAGATGCAAGCCCTCCTTTATTCCCATAGATGCAAGCCCTCCTTTATTCCCATAGATGCAATCCCTCCTCTATTGTCATAGATGCAAGCTCTCCTTTATTCCCATAGATGCAACCCCTCCTCTATTGTCATAGATGCAAGCTCTCCTTTATTCCCATAGATGCAATAACTCCTCTCATTGTATATATTTACTCATCCTTCCCATGAATACCGAGCATCGACCAGATCCCCTAGTAACTCCTCGCAGCACCATTCTCTTTAGACAGTAATGATCTATCTATCTGCGCCTCCACACTGTTCACTTATTCCCAAAGGGCTCTTGCAAAATAATTAATTCAACATAATTACTTTAATATAATTCATTAATACAGGTAATCCCTGATTATCTGTACTAATGCAGCTGAAAAAATAAGTGAAATATTCCAGGCACGAAATTGTGCAATGTATTGTTTGTGTCTGCGTTAGTTAAACATCAATAAAACAATACAGACCACAATCCCAACTACTACTAATATCCCCAGCATAACTACAGCTACATCAATCACCAAAACAAAACTTCAACAATTAATTAATACTATCCTTAAAAGGGAAGGGACAATGCAAAGAACACACAAAACATATTTATATCCACTTTATATATGCCTTTCTTATAATTATGTGGAAAATGTTTCTAAATATGAGGTGAGGTTGTAGTAAAAATCTTACCATGACATTATAATCAATCTATGAAACAAAAGAAGAAAATCAAAAACGAAAAAGAAATACTAAATGCTAATAATTTGAATAAGCAAGAAAGCAATGATTAGTAAGAACAGATGAAGTAAGAATAGACAATATTCAATTACATGTGGCATTACTAAAAGCGTAGAGATTAGTAAATGTATGTGCTGATAATTTAGAATTATAAAATATTAAAGATCTATAAACTGAGCTTAATATGTGCTTCAATGGTAAAATAAAATAATAATAATTATTGCTGTGCTACTATACAAAGCAATGAAACAAAAGGATAAGGCTTTTATTGACAAAACATAGAATCACAAATTGAATGTTTGATGCAACAACAAACTGTAACTTTTTTATCTGATGCAACAACAACAAAAATCATGACTCTTATGTTCAATGCAACAAAAAAGAATTCATGAGTCTACAGTTTGATGACTCTATTGTTTGAAGCAACAACAAAGCAATCATAACTCTTCTCTCTTAACTCTAAACTTTAAACAAGTGATCAAAAGTTATTTTTTGGTGCTACAACAGGAAAAATCATAAAACTGACATTTAGTGCAACCACAAAAAGATAAAAAATCATTATGTTAAGTACGTCAAAGATGAACAATTCTTACCATAAGTGTTACCACACAAGCTAAACTTATTTATGATTTTCAGTGCAGATACATGTAAAGCTATTCATCAATCTTAATTTTTTTTTTTTTTTTTTTTGGGTGCTAACACACATAATATTCCAACATTTTCTTCAGATAAGTAAAAGAAATACAATTACTTATTTCTGAAACAAATCCAAAACTTTGTTTAAGATGTATAATACAAAATTATTAAGTAATGTGTTTCTTTCAAAAAATAAAAAAATAAAAATATGAAAAGATTTTATCTGTACTGCAAAACTTCAAACAGAGTTTAGATAGACTGCAGTTCTAACAGTATGATAGATAGCTTATCAAGTACTCACCTCGCTGGTATCACTGACTGGATCATTCATGCGTTTAACGGCATCCTCAGATTGGTGTATCTTCTGCAGTGCTTCAATCTTCATCTTTTGCTCGATCTCCTCTACTTCCCTTTTCTGGGCCAGCAATCGTTCCTGTCAGATGTGATTACATAAGTTTAGATATTGTACAAAATTAATTTCATTTTAACGTCAGTAAACTTGGTCTACAGCAACCCAGAAAGACGTACCTGATGAACCGATGCAAGGAAGAAATGGGTTTGGTCAAAACATGCACATAACTAATTAGCTATAAACTTGCTGGCCACAAGTATATCTAAGAAAATATCAGACAAATACAACAGAAGATTTAGTCACAACTGCATCATCTGCTGGGATGCAAACCAATGAAGTCATGTGCCTGGACCAAGGCTTATATTTATCAAGACTTATTTTCAGACAAACATTAACAATGTCTTGGACTGCCAGAGTAACTAATGAGGATTGAAAAAAGCTAATGAAAAAAGATCAATATATTCGGCTATAACGAAAATACGAGCGCTGTTCTTTGTTTATGTGATGACGGGGGAGGCTATGGAGAATATTGTGATGACTGGGAAGACTGACGATAAAAGAGGGAGAGGCAGACTGAGAGAGATGACGACAGATGAACTGTGAGGGTGGCAGGGAGAGATATCATCAGTGGAACTGATCCTGAGGACAAAAGCCTGAGATCTGTGGAGATGCATGAATGCCTATGCCGCTCGGCAGAGCATGTGATGGATGATGTTGATTTACACCTGTCTGTGGTCGTATAGAAACAGGCTCCCAACTGAAGGCCTGGTCAATTTATGCAGAAACCAGCTCCCAACCGGAGGCCTAGTCAGTTTATACAGAATTGTTTACTTTAAAGTTGGAGTTCATCTGTCTGAGAGTAGATGAACCAATAGTCTGCACACACACAAACCAAACATGTAACACAGATGTGCATGCAAAACTGAAGTCTTGGAACAAGACCAAAGTCCAGAAGTAGATGAACAACCACGGCTTACTGCCAGAGTTTACAGACTGTGAAAAAATTGTCTGCCTACACATTTTGATAAAATACAGGTATGTAACATCCAACCGCTGAGACTGGCTTAACTGAACTAGCCCCGCGCTGGATACAGACATAAAAATCATTCTTCCACCGGAAGATAGAGACCAGATGTTAATGAATATGCATGTTCATGGTTCCTAATTTATTCTTATATGGATGCACTCGCCGTCTAACTTCTTGTTTATTTTATTTTAGACTGTGCTACAATTTAGTTACACAATTTCAGAATTTATTTTCAACTTTTGGCCATTTTTAGAAACAAAAGATTCCAAAACACTTTCAAAATTATTCCTTTAGTCTCAGAAGCTCTCGTAGTAGCTGCCACATTGGAAAAAAAAATAATAGAAATTACAAATAACCATTAATGCATTAATTACAAACAGGCAAAATACATGTGACTACTGGAGACAGCAAAATTTTTAGTATATTGAGACCAAAAGTAAGAAGTAAGAGAACCTATTACAGAATAGTTGGAATTCCAGAGGAAAATCCAGTCAGGTATATCTCATTGTTTATGGCTTCAAGGGTTAAGGCAAAATTATGAAGTCCCTGATAATATAAAAGTTTATAAGACAATTTCTTGGTAAAGTTCATTTTGTTTATTTCTTTCAGTGATTCTAAAAAGTCAACAATTCTGTGAAACATCTTGAGTGTTCTCACCTGGTAATGTCTCTCTGCTTCCTTCTTGGCTTCTTTGGCATTCATTTTCTTCTTGAGCTCTGCTTCTTCTTTCAGTCTAAGTTGCTCTGCCTCCATTCTCATAGCATACTATAGAGAGAGAAGAGATGGTCATGGATTCTCATGGCATACTATAGAGAGAGAAGAGACGGTCATGGATTCTCATGGCATACTATACAGAGAGAAGAGACAGTCATGGATTCTCATGGCATACTATATAGAGAGAGAAGAGACAGTCGTGGATTTAATGACAGGGGAAACAAAGTCTCTGCCATCTCCACAATGAAGGATGGCTACAGTTGACCCCTGGTGTCTTTGGAAAACCTTATGTGATGAGGCCCAAATTTCTTCCACAGTGTGACTCTTGTACTACTGTCTAAACACCATGAGAATGGTTTTTAAAACTGTCCACCAAAGGAAACAAACTCCAGTAATCGAGGATCATGAAAGTGCATTAAAATGACAGAAAGATAGAATCAAACAAACAAATAAAAGAGAAAGCAAGCAAGCAAGCAAGCAAGCAAGCAAGCAAGCAAGCAAGCAAGCAAGCAAGCAAGCAAGCAAGCAAGCAAGCAAGCAAGCAAGCAAGCAAGCAAGCAAGCAAGCAAGAAAGAAAGAAAGAAAGAAAGAAAGAAAGAAAGAAAGAAAGAAAGAAAGAAAGAAAGAAAGAAAGAAAGAAAGAAAGAAAGAAAGAAAGAAAGAAAGAAAGAAAGAAAGAAAGAAAGAAAGAAAGAAAGAAAGAAAGAAAGAAAGAAAGAAAGAAAGAAAGAAAGAAAGAAAGAAAGAAAGAAAGAAAGAAAGAAAGAAAGAAAGAAAGAAAGAAAGAAAGAAAGAAAAGAAAGAAAGAAAGAAAGAAAGAAAGAAAGAAAGAAAGAAAGAAAGAAAGAAAGAAAGAAAGAAAGAAAGAAAGAAAGAAAGAAAGAAAGAAAGAAAGAAAGGAAAAAAAAATGTGTGTGGAGATCTATCAGAATGAATCTAGTGTCATCTCAACAATAAAGGCTGGCTGTTCTCATGTTACAAGAAGAGGGATATAGGAACTTGTTGTGACAACTGGAAAGATCTGTGGAAAGAGAGACAGAGGAAGACAGAGTGAGAAAATTCTTGACAGTCTTTTGTCATGGCATGGAGGGGTGCCAGCACATGAAATGATACACTCAGTTGCAGATCGCAGACTGTGAAGAGTCATGATTGCCCATGCCAGTCAGTAAGGCACTTGATGATGTTGATGATTCCCCAAACACTTTCACTTTCTCATCCTTTGTCTGTACATTCAGAGATCATTGTTGATTCACCTCTAAATGTTATCTTCCCACCCATACTGACTTACTGACTGCTCAGACAGGAAGACCATGGACAGACAGAAAAGGAGAAGGTGAAGACAGAAAAGGAGAAGGTGAGGAGAAGGGGAAAGAGAGAGATGGAGAAAGTCATAGAAAAACTAAACTATAAACTAGAAGTTAATATGGGGTTTCTTGCTGACTAACCTCAATCCTTAGTCTTCTCAGCTGCTTCTGAGCAATGATGGTTCTCACCGAAGCCTGGATCTGGACAATGGCCACAATCCTCTTCTGTACCCACTGCCTGACCAAATATCCTCGACAGTATTTCTGTTGACAATGAGAAAATGAAACATCAGTAATACGAACAAACAAATTATATCACTTCTAATGAAAACAAAATAATAGAGGTCACAGGTTGACGACATGAGTCACATGAAGTATATGTGTTTGTATGTGTATATATACATATATAATGCATCACAAATGTATTCCATTGAATGCTTCAGTATGTTGGTGTTTACTGATTGCTCTCTTTATTTATTTGAATTCTTTTTTAGAAAAATAAACTTTTTCTGTACTGATTAGTACTGGGGTAATTTTTTGTTAAATTGGTTTTTTTTTAATGTTTAGGTTTGGTGGGGTAGGGGAGGGGGGGGGGGGAATACCCATGAATTCATGACCCACTTCTGGACCTTTTCCAAGGTGAAATGATTAAAGACACTTTGATTTTTTCTTTTTATTCTGCTTTCACCTAAAAAGGCATTTATGGCACGTTATGTTGTGGCTGACAGCTAGGGTGTGATATCTGCCCCTGTCAGCCCAACATATCCGATTTCAACAGACTCTTCAATAGTCGATTTTTATGACATGCTTGTTGGCAGCTATGCAATTCCCCCCCCCCCCCCCCCCGACCCCCCATACACATGGGCACACACACACACACAAAATGGGGCCCTGGAACCCACAGGGGGGATGACAGAACATGACAAAAGAAAAAAGAGGGGAAACTTTGGAAGAACTGTGGTCTTTTATACCAGCTGTGAAATGAATGTAATTGTGCAAGGTGAACACAAAATGATCAAGTCTAAAGTTTTAGTTGATTTTGCTAGAATCGTTTTTGTTCCTAGTGCTTACTAGTGTTGGGGTCAGTCACCACTGGTGACCTGACTTACGGACATGTTGCAGTTGAGATGATGCTATGTTTTATAGTCTCAGGTCAGTCTTCTGCTTAAAGCACTTATTTAGACAAGCAGATTGCCTTCAGACAGAAAGGCTGAAATATGTATTACTTGGACTGGTTTGTGTCTACAGGTGTCTACAATGATGGTGGGGCATCGGTCAGCTTGGATGCATTAAATGGCTGTGTTATGAGCTAGTGGGTGTCTGACAGCCGCCCCACTTTGTCTACTTCGCCAGAGACTGCAGTCTAATTAATAATTATCCGGATGTGCTGTGCTGCCAATGTTGAATGCTGAATTAAGAATCTACATCATTACAACCAGTATGCTCCCAAAAGCGCTCCATCCCCCTTTTACGCAGTAAGCAAAGCGTTTCAGTTCCTATGGCACCAGTAAATGTCTGACTGTATATCCATCTTGCCTTTTCCTTGAGTCACTTTTTTGTAGCCAGTGGCCATGACAATGTGCAAATCTATCTTGTTAATACGTCTTCATTATGAGTGCTAAAGTGCAGGAAAAACTTTACCAGTAAGCGTGTTTGTTCAAAGTTGTGTTTGGATCACTCCTTGGAAGAACTTGTGTGGCTCATGTGCGAGGAAAGATACACTGCTTGATTGAATGAGCTGTTTATATTGACCATTGAGATGCCTCCTATCTTCCAAAGTGTAGAATCGACCTCTGCAGCTTTACAACATACCTGTAAGTTAAGAGCCCAGGCTCGGATGACATTGAACCTTGCTGTCAGCATTCTGGATCGGACCAAGGCCTGCAGTCTCATATAACCTTGTCTTATCTGAAAAATACAATTAGAATGTCTGTGTCATCTTGTCTAGCTCTTGGGAACACATCATGCAAAACAATGAACACTAGGTCTACTTCTAGAATTCACAACATATAAAAAATAAACATTAGGTTAACTTCTAGGATCACATTATGTAAAGAAAAGAAATAAACACTAGGTCTACCGCTAGAAATCACATCATGTAAAGAAAATAAACACTAGGTCTACCTGTAAAAATCACATCATGTAAAAAAAAAAAATACTCTAGAAATCACATTATGTAAAAAAAAAAAAAAAATTTAATAAACACTAGGTCTACTTCTAGAAATCACATCAGGTAAAAAAAAATATAAAACACTAGGTCTACATATAGAAATCACATCATGTTAAAAAAAATTGACACTAGGTCTACCTTTAGAAATCACATCATGTAAAAAAATTAACACTAGGCCTACCTGTAGAAATCACATAATATAAAAAAAATTTACACTAGGTGAACCTCTAGAAATCACATCATGTAAAGAAAAGAAATAAACACTAGGTGAACCTCTAGTATCACAAAAACTCTTTCTGCCCCAAACAACACTCTGTGTGCACATAGGTATCATTCGCATGTGCCAATCATCATGTTATGTCTATTGTTACATCTTATGTTTAGTCAGGGACTCTGAAGAACTCTGGCACTATATTTGTTTCCTGCAAGGGTTGTATATTTGGCACTTTTGAAAGTAGTATATCCATGACTTTAGTACTCCCATTCTGAACTTCCACAGACATAAGCTAGGACACTGTAGGACCGAAAGAGTTAGGTGAACACTAAACTAATAGTACCAATCTAGAAACACTATTATAAGAAAAAAGAAAAAAAAACTAAAAATCTTCTTCTTCTTCTTCTTTCGTTCATTCGTTCATTCGTTCCTTTGTTTGTTAAGTTCCACCTTGTACCTCACAAAGTGCCAGAGGGAGATGTAACATTCATTGATGAGCACTACAAATGACTACTGTATAAACACTAATTACCCTATTTGATTGCTGATAAAAAACGCCAACCAATACAGTAGTCTCCTATGTTTTGTTTGCAATTAAAAGTGAAATAAAAAGACAATGTATGAAAGGAATGCATTATTTGCCAGCTGGTCAGTCTTTTCATTACCTTTTTTTAATGCCTGCATGCCCAGGAGTGTAGATCCAGATGAGGGAGCTTAACTGCAACTTCCAAATGCTTTCTACCCATTCGGAGCATGAACTACATGTTGCAATTTTCTTGAGCATGTTCATAGAGTCTGAAACAATTACCGCATGTTTGGCTGTTTGTTCTGCTACCCATGCAAGTGCTCTGGAAGCAGCAGTTATCTCCATGGTCATGATTGATGTAGTTGGCTGGTAAGTGACACTATCCTCTTCTATTGTTTTCTCCATCCTTCGTGCTGTGAACAGCCTTGCTGACCTTGACCCTTGCTTCATGAACCTCTCAGCTAAATGATGTCACCTGGGCATGAATGCTGATCAGTCAGTGCCATCATCTTGGCGTCCACAGGTGCAGGCATCTGAAACCTGTAGCACCTTCGCAGGATTGTAACAGTCTTAGACAGGTCACGCATGTCTACAGGTGCCTATCCGTCCATTCTTCTCCTTGACTGATGTCATCTAGATCACTTACCTGCTGGGTTAGAATTTTCAGCCTTGGCCATCCAGGAGGAGCCTGGATAGTGTTGAGCAGTGGGTGGGTGATATCAGTGGTGCTGATATCCTCATGTACGCCTTCACCTGAGCCACTCTATGTCTGGGAGCCATTGTCGGCCAGCCCATGACATACTGCATGGCGTGGCCTGAGGTTTTTTTTTTTTTTTCTGCAGCCGAGTATTTATCCCATGGCCTCATTTTGAACCTAATCCAGTCTTTCTATCTGGGTTGTACATTTTACATCCCAAAACAATATGTCTGCTAAATTAACAATCTTTGGGTCTTAATGAGGTCATTAATAAAACCATCACATTATAGGAGTACATGTAACAATCTCTGCCTATCTTTTTTTACCCCACCAGGACATCACACAAGCGATAAACACCTGATGACACAAAGTGCCACCATGTGGATGAGGATCACCCATAGAGAGGTCCCAGAAACCGCGTTCAGTCATTAGACCATTTTTAAGGCTGGGCTATATTGCGACCCCTGGCAAGAGCCAGGGTGGGGGCTTCAAAAAATGAAAAATTGCATCCCAAAAAAGGGATGACAGGATGTGAAAGACAATATGGGTTGATAGGTAGCAATTGGGGGTAGAATAAATGTAGCACAACAGAAGTATTGTAGAGAAGTGGTGAAGAAAAGCTGGCAAGTATAAAGTAAGCAATAAACACTTGGTGAGTTTGCTGAAGCGAACAAAATCTATTTTTAACATACCACTAGAAAACGCTTTCTCTCCTGGAAGGCTCTCATAGTAGACTGAACAACTACAATGCATTTTCTCATCTTCAAGTATCTGCGTCGATAGTGCCAAGATCGCACCATCTTTTGAATAATCAGAATTTTCCTGGTGAGAGTAATTTCCCTTTGCTGTTCCAAATAAACATCTTGGGCATCCTGAAAATAATCAAGGTTATAGTTCACTGTAGATGAAACAAAATGAAAAATCTGTATTTTCTCAGTTTATAGATTTATGACAAAGGATCTAGCAACACTGATCTCTAAAACTTTGATAAATCTTGACCTAACAAGGTAAAGATTGTTTTTAAATATTTTGGTACCATAAAACACAGTGTATGCTGATAGATAAATAAGTTAGACTTTCAAATAATAGATGATGTGATGTTTACTGGTTTTACCTCTGGCCAGTGTGAACAATACTAACTGGCAAATTTGAAACACCTCTCTGTTTCTTTATGATTCTATACCACACGTGTAGGGCAAACCTTTGGTCTTTACAGGTTTTAAAAAGTCAAAGTTTAAATATATTTGTATAATTAATTTACTGGGTTGTTACACCATGAACTGAAAATAATACCGCCATCAAATCATTTTTGTGCCAATCAGTCATTTACAGTTTAGAAGCTTAAAATTGAATTTAACCGTGAATTAATAAGAATTATGGGATGTTGAAATTACCTCACAAACAGAACTGACTACCCACAGATGATGCAGATAAGTGGTAGCAGTATTTTAAACAACAAAATTCTCTTAAACCCATCCAAGTTATAATTGGGATATATGGTTTTTGTGTTTTTTTTTCAGTAATGGATATTTATGCCTATCAATCATTTTTTGCTATTCAGTATTACATAGCTTACATATTAATTGTATATAACTGGAGAAGTAACGATTGTTAATTTAAGTTTATTTTAAGCGTGTGTAATGTATTTTTGCAGATATTTAAAGTGATCTGGGATAAAGTAAAGTAAAGATCCCTTTTCATGCCTTTCGGCGCATCATTATACCATATGACTAAAGATATATTAGTAACAACTCATGCAAACAAGCTACATTCTTTGGTCATGTCATGAGTAGAAGAAAACCGGAATCCAACATGACGAGGGGACAGTTGGAGACGCAGGTAAAGAACAATGGTACAGAGGTAATATGAAAACTGAGTAAAAACATATATATATATATATAATGAACAGCTTACTTTGAGGAAGACTTTCGTTTTTCCAAGTTGGTAATCTGCATTTTTAAGAACTGCTGAGCAAATCTTATTGGATGCAGCTCTGCAGTCCTCTTTGTGGGAAGGTCCGATTCCATCGACAAGTATTCTGTAGCGGTCAACAAACTCTGCAAAGCTGTGCCTGATGGGATACCCAGCACGTCGAATTCTGATAGTTTCCATCATGCCAGAGTACCTCAACTGTTTACAGCACAGCTCTCTGTCAAAAATCTGGAAAGATTCAAGTAAACCACTTATAAAACACTGTTAGATACTAGAAACCATTAAAAAATTTAAAAAGCAAGGAACACAATAACTCATAAAATCCATGTTCAGGAATATGCAGAAGGCTAACATTTCACATCTCACTTTATGACAGTGGTGGGCAAAAATTTTGTTTTTTGTTTGTTTTAGAGCTATTTTTCATGTCAGAAATCACTGGTGATCTACCTCATACATCAATGAAGATTTAAAAAAATGAAACACAAGATGACTCTGGGCTATCCCTCATATCTTGCTGGTCAAATAGTAGACAGCGGTTGAACACTGGACACCGGTGCTTTATGAAATGATAATAATTTTGAAAATTACTGAAAAGAGAACTGACCTTTGGCTTCTTAAACTCATTTGGTTTGATACATCTGACAAAGAATGGCTGGCAGGAGCTCAGAGTAGACATCAGTTGCTCTAGCGACCTCTTGAACTGTGAGGCCAGTGTGGGTGACTTCTTTCTTGTGTCCGTACCCTGATTTTAAACAATAACAATAATTTGGCAATGCTAGTTATTATCTGTATTAAATATTTAATAAACAAAGAGACAATATTTTGATCGGCACTCACATAAAAAAGCAGAAAGATAGAGGGACACACTAGACAACATAAAAATCAAAAGCTATTCTTTCTGTGCCGGAAATCGAACCTTTCACCTCCATATGGCGTGTGCATCTCGCTATGGAAACAAGTGTACTAAGAATGTGACCAACCTAGGAACATCTAAAAGTGGCCTCAAAGGGGATGCAAACAAGTTACAAGTGGGTCAGCAGGCAATGCCTACTAGCCATTGTTGAGTGTTGAGCTAAGAGCTGACACTATAGCACTCAGGACATTCCCATAAGCGCTCCATCCTAATCCTTAGCAGCAACAGTTCCAATTATGATGTTGCCAGTAGCAATTTGATTATATATTTGTCTTGCCTTTTCTCTGAGTGAAGAGTGACAACCAGATTCCCTGGCCACTCCTAGCTGTGCCATTCTCTCCAGATCATAATGATATATTCAGGCCTACCCGTCAAGAGCCTTGGCCACATCTGGCTAGTCATACATAAATTCAGCATTCACTGCTGCAGAACCATTAGATCTGCCTGCCTGTTCATTTTCTAATACTCCTGCATACCCCAGATAAAATACCCAAAGAATGCTTACTACCTGGGACCTCTGAAATACTGCTTGCCTTTCTTACTGATAGGGTCATCAGTATCACAACTAAATGTTGTAGTATCAAACGCTAGATTTTGTTGCACTAAGCGGCATCAATCTGCTTTCACTACGACTCTCTGTCCCTCCTTCCCGCCACACTTCTTCTGCCTCTCAGCATAGGGCCATCAGTATTGATAAACCCATTACCACACTGCACCACAATGGCTTTCTATAATTAATGATACATCACATGAAAATATAATGAAGGCTAAAACATCACAAGGAGCTGCACTCCTCACACGGGTAAGGAGTATCATCTGGATTTTTTTCACCGGAGCACACGGTGTGTTCGGAAATGAACAGTCAGACAGACTGGCTGACTCTGCACAAATTGATGGACTACTGATACATGATAAGGCAGACGTGGTTAGGGCCTTGTGGGAGAGTGTGTACAGTTCAGGGCTGCAGATGGATCACCATAGTCTGGTGAGATTGATGCAGAGGGGGGTGACGAGAGGTTATGGCAGATGCTCAAGGCTCAGAGGAAAGGCATGACGGAAGTTTCGTCGGAATGCTACTGGCACCATTAGTATTGGAACTCTTCACTGGCTGCTAAAGATGGGGGCGGAGCACTTATGGGAATGCCCCAAGTGCTGATGTCAGTTCTTGAATCAAATCAAATCAAATCAAGGGGCTCCAATAGCTCATGGATGGGCTAGATGCTTGTTTGTCAGTTTAAACATATTGATTTGAATATCCAGCCTCAAATGGATAAGAGGAAATGTCCTAGGAGGTAAAGTAGGCTTGTGTGACACTGATCCCATCACCTAATGTGTCAACTGACCTATACAAATATGGATCTGCTACTAAATGCCCAATCCACCAATGGTAAGTTTTAAAAAAGGGGTACATTAATTATAACTCATCATAAAGAACTTTCATCATCAACATCATTGTCTTGTTGTGTCATTATATTTCAGATAAGGCACGCAGTCTTCTCCTCCATTCCATTCTCTCCTGTGCAATCAATTCAATATCATGTAAGGAATCTAGTCCAGTAGCTTTAGCCTCTCTCATCTTTTCATCAACACTCATTTGAAGGTTTCTTTAGGGTGTCCTCACTTTCCAAATCCCTCTTTTTTTACCATTTCAGTGCCTGTTTGGTGAGTCTTTGCTCGTTTCCTCTCAAGATGTGTCGAATACAGTGCCATCTTCTCAGGATGTCTCCAGTACAGTGCCATTTTCTCAGGATGTCTCCAGTACAGTGCCATCTTCTCAGGATGTCTCCAGTACAGTGCCATCTTCTCAGGATGTCTCCAGTACAGTGCCATCTTCTCAGGATGTCTCCAGTTGTCTTACACCTGTTGTTTACCAGTGGTTGCCTAGACATTATTCTTATTTCTTCAGCCATCTTGAATTCATGACATTTTATGATCAAAGAAATGGTTAACCAAAATATAGACCTGCTAATCAAGAGACGTTAAACGAGAATCTTAAACGACATACAATATACCATAAGTTTGTTGGCTGAATATAATAAATAACATACCATGGAGATATCAGAGTAGAATAACAGATTAAAGAACATACAACATACCATATGTTTGCTTGCTGAATATAATAAATAACATACCAAGGAGATATCAGAGGAGAATAACAGACTAAAGAACATACAATATACCATAAGTTTGTTGGCTGAATATAATAAATAACATACCATGGAGATATCAGAGGAGAATAACAGACGAAAGAACATACAACATACCATAAGTTTGTTGGCTGAATATAATAAACAACATACCATGGAGATATCAGAGGAGAATAACAGACTAAAGAACATACAACATACCATAAGTTTGTTGGCTGAATATATAAACAACATACCATGGAGATATCAGAGGAGCATAACAGACTAAAGAACATACAACATACCATAAGTTTGTTGGCTGAATATAATAAACAACATACCATGGAGATATCAGAGGAGAATAACAGACTAATAACAGACTAATAACATACCATGGAGATATCAGAGGAGAATAACAGACTAATGAACCTGCTCTTAGATTCTTGGATCAAGGAGACTAAGTCTGAACTGAAAGTGTCTCGGTTCTTCTCCAGGAAACCTAAAATAATGAAAATAAATTGTTTGACAATTAGGCATGTGATAGTAGTAATCTAATATTAAATTTAATTAATTGTGTATCCTTTACAGGACATTGCAGAACCAACCCCAGCACTTTCTGGCTGTTGTGTTTTTTCTAGACAATATACATCCAGTAGTTTGCCATTGCTTTCTGGACAGTTGGCTCTCGGTACCACTTTCGAAACCAGCGCAAGACAAACCGTCCGCAGCAGGGATCAAACCTGGCACCCCAGCATTACAAAGCATGTTCGCAACGCCTAAGCCACAGAAGCCAACTCTAATATACAGTATCTTATTCAACCCTTTTGAGTTTTTACCGGGTTATAAAGAATTGTTGTACTTCCTTTATTGGATATTTCTTTTTCTTCTTCAGCATTCCAAGCCACAGATTCACAGGTTCATTATCACAGATATTACCCACCTCCACTCATGTCTCTGGTTGGCCTTCTCTTTCCAGTTGGTGACACCAAGTGTTTACAGGTCTGTCTGAATGTTATCTCTCTATTGTCTTGTTGGTCTTCCTCACGGTCTATAGCCATTCAGGTCCCTTGTGTTTACTGAATATTTATGTTTATATACTACTTTCATCAATTTGATATTGCACAGGTTAACAGTTAATTATAACTAATGATTATAAGATTATAGATTATAGGTGCTAAATATAAAAGGTTGTAGAATACGATTCAAATAACTGTGACATTCAAAAGATGTGTAATCAATATCTGGGAATACTCAAAAAGATCTAAGCTATAATTTTTTTTCTTTTTGGTCTTTATGATAAATATTTTATAAACAAATGAAAACAACTGGCCACCACTTAAACTGAACCTTAGTACTCAAGGATTCTCAAATAGTTAAATGGATTCACTAACCTCTAAGCCAAAGAACCACATGTGAAATAGAAATTTTAAAATTACGTGTGTAATTGGGGCTTATAGAGGAGGCAGAGAGAAGTAACATTGTACAATACATGGTGTAGGAGGCAACTAAGGAAGGTTGGCATGAGACTGACTACCTACTCCTGGAATAAACGTTTCTGTAAAATTTAACAAATCATCAGTTCAGTTAGGAACTGACATCACAGCACACAGGACTTTTCCATAAATGATCTATCTCCATCTTTAGCAGCAAGTACAGAGATTCAATTCCAATAGTACCAAAGGCGGTCAGATTATTTTGCCTTTTCTCTGACATCCGAGTGTCAGCCAGATCCCGTGGTCACTCTCAATGTACCATTCTCCTCAGACTGAGCTGATCTGTTTGTGACTCCACACTGTTTGCTCTCTGGCAAAGGGCCTTGTCAAAATCTAGCTTGTCATGCATGAACTGACCAAAACATCGTACTCAACAAGCAAATCTGTTTGCCTGTTCATTTCCCAATACACATGTATACCTGGAAAACATATTCAAAGGACAGTAACAACTACTGATCTCTGGAGCAATGCTTGCCCTCTAAATGGAGCCTAACTGCCTCTACTTTTCTTAGAAACCAAGCAATAATCTTCATCTTTCTCAGAAACCAATTGTCATCTCAATTAGAAACCAATCCATCTTACTCAGAAACAAATACATCAAGCTCTATCTTTCTGAGAAATCAATCTCCATCTTTCTCAGAAATCATCAATTTCAATCTTTCTCAGAAAGCAAGCATCAATCTCCATCTTTCTCAGAAACCAATCATCAATCTCATCTTTCTCAGAAACCAATCATCAATCTCCATCTTTCTCAGAAATCAATCATCAATCTCATCTTTCTCAAAAACCAATCATCAATCTCATCTTTCTCAATCATCAATTTCATCTTTCTCAGAAACCAATCATCAATCTCATCTTTCTCAGAAACCAATCATCAATCTCATCTTTCTCAGAAACCAATTATCAATCTCATCTTTCTCAGAAAGCAAGCATCTATTTCCATCTTTCTCAGAAAGCAAGCATCAATCTCTTTCTCAGAAACCAATCATCAATCTCATCTTTCTCAGAAACCAATCATCAATCTCCATCTTTCTCAGAAATCAATCATCAATCTCATCTTTCTCAAAAACCAATCATCAATCTCATCTTTCTCAAAAACCAATCATCAATTTCATCTTTCTCAGAAACCAATCATCAATCTCATCTTTCTCAGAAACCAATCATCAATCTCATCTTTCTCAGAAACCAATTATCAATCTCATCTTTCTCAGAAAGCAAGCATCTATTTCCATCCTTCTCAGAAAGCAAGCATCAATCTCTTTCTCAGAAACCAATCATCAATCTCATCTTTCTCAGAAACCAATCATCAATCTCATCTTTCTCAGAAAGCTAGCATCAATCTCAATCTTTCTCAGAAACCAATCATCAATCTCAATCTTTCTCAGAAACCAATCATCAATCTCATCTTTCTCAGAAAACAATCATCAATCTCCATCTTTCTCAGAAAGCAAGCATCAATTTCCATCTTTCTCAGAAACCAATCATCAATCTCATCTTTCTCAGAAACCAATCATCAATCTCATCTTTCTCAGAAACCAATCATCAATCTCATCTTTCTCAGAAAACAATCATCAATCTCCATCTTTCTCAGAAAGCAAGCATCAATTTCCATTTTTCTCACAAAGCAAGCATCAATCTCAATCTTTCTCAGAAACCAATCATCAATCTCATCTTTCTCAGAAACCAAGCATCAATTTCCATCTTTCTCAGAAACCAATCATCAAACTCACCTTTCTCAGAAACCAATCATCAATCTCATCTTTCTCAGAAACCAATCATCAATCTCCATCTTTCTCAGAAAGCAAGCATCAACTTCCATTATTTTCGGAAACCAATCATCAATCTCCATTATTCTCAGAAACCAATCATCAATCTCCATTATTCTCAGAAACCAATCGTCAGTTTTCATTATTCTCAGAAACCAATCATCAAGTCTACAAAGAGCTTGGAATGAGTGGGCTGGGAGCCTTCGTTCCCACGCAGATGAAATTAATGGGGAACAACAGAAGCACATCCTAGCACACAAGAATAGATACCTGTGCCCCAGGTGGTCAACCGCACCTTCTCCTGTGTTGTCACACTTGATAGGATCTGTCGGGAGCAAAATGCAGTTGCTGACAGTGCAGAGGCCCACGCACTTATATATGTGAACATTCAGATGAGGCGGATGTACTGATCTACATAGATGGTCCGTTGTATAAGGACAAACAAGTGAAAGGGCATTTACTATGTGCTCTGCAGGCAGAACAGTCCAGGAGGTTAGAGGTGCCTTCTGAAGGACTACTAGCAGCATGACAATGGAGGTTCTTGTGGTAACACATGAGCTTCCATGTGGCTAGAATTGCAGGGCTATTCTCATATACGTGTGCTGAGTGATTCCATGAACATTATCCAGCTGGTCAAGGCGAACTTTGTAAACAGACAGTGGATCGAGTCACTGCAAAACTCTACTGTGTCTGGAGTTACCTTCATCTCTGTCCCAGGTCATGCGGGTGTTGCTGGCAATGAAAGAGCTGACAGATTAGCCGGCTCTGCCTTAGTTGCAGAGGGCCAGCCCATGGATCATGCAGACATTGTTAATGCCATTAGAGAGGTAAGACGATCAGAGGGTTTTGGGAGCGGCACATTGCTAAGAGTGCAAGAATTGGGCACAGTCAGTCATGGATAGCACACTGGATGCACGAGAAGTCTTGTCAACCAACACAGGACTGGGACTATCAACCGCGGGGTACTGATGTATATATGTTGAAGGGGGAATCTGAGCACCTATGGGAATGTCCCAAGTGCCGTGAAGATAACTCAAATCATAACTCAAACTCAAGCCATCTCAGTGTCTCCATGCTCATCGTACCCAACGGACACTGACTGGTGTATCTTCCTTCTTTTCACTGCCACTGGTTTCTGCAAGACCCTCCTCATTTAATACACATATTTCTGCAAGACTGTGCTCGTTTAATACACATATTTCTGCAAGACTGTCCTCGTTTAATACACATATTTCTGCAAGACTGTCCTCGTTTAATACACATTTTTCTGCCAGACCGTTCTCGTTTAATACACATTTTTCTTCAAGACCATCCTCGTTTAATACACATTTTTCTGCAAGACCATCCTCGTTTAATACACATTTTTCTGCAAGACCATCCTCGTTTAATACAAATTTATCTGCAAGACTGTCCTCGTTTAATACAAATTTTCAGCAAGTTGTTTATCATTTCTGAGTCCTTTGTCTCAACATCTCTGGAATGCAGGGCATTTAGTATGTTTGCCTTGTCTATAAGAAATAGTAGATGTACTCACCTCCTTCTTTAGGAAAGAGAATAGGAGCTTTTTTGGGGCTGAAATGCTAATAGAAAGATTCTCAGAATATCTTGGACAAAGAAGAGGAGAAATACTGACATCTTGAAAGATCTGAACATCAAGAAAGATTGGCTAATAAACAGCATCCTGTCTCGGAAGCTGAAATATTTTGGTCATTTCAAGCGCCACAAAAGATTGGAGAAAATAATAGCAGAAGGCATGGTACCAGGAAGTAGGGGCGGGGGCCAACCAACATGAAGACGGGCACAGGATAAAAGTGACTCCTTGAGTATGAAAGTACATGAGTCGGGAGAGTTGGCGAGAGACTGAGTTTCTTTCAGGCAAACGGTGATGAGAGCAACCTTCCACAAAGAACCCAGCTACATGATGATGACTCACCTCTACAATCATAGAAGACCACTCCTGCAAAATGGCTGAGTCCAAATGTCTGATTGACAGCAGCTTTTGGTTTTAAGTAGTTTGGGTGACTGGCATGGTACTGGTGCAGTTTGTTCAACATACTCTCATCTGTGCCCTGTCAAATATTCAATGTCTTTGGTTTATATGCTGCAAAAAGCTGCCAGATGGCGCGAGAGTGGCGTAGTCGCCAGGTGCTCACTTTCCGGCCCCAAAAATGCCTAGGATCAAAATCGGTGTAATTTTTTTTTTCTTCTTCAAAAGTGACTTTGACTCCTAGGTCAACCCTGCCTAAAATGTGAACAAAGTAACGACCTGGGAAGTAAAAACATGAAGCTGACAACATCAACCAACAGGTGTTGACCAGTCCATAAAAATATGAGTCTAGTATCATATGTCCGATATGCCACCAACATAAAAAGATTTCTTTAGTTTTAAATACAGCTGTCAGTAAATTAAAATGTACAAACTAAACACAAAGTCCCTACTTGAAGGTATTGGTTAAAATTTTTACGCTGTACCATAGCAGAGATCACTGTAACATCTAATGTTAGGCTTTCATGCATGCTAGTCAATGATATATAGGGTAGTGGGGGATTGGGTGCATTTTTCCTCCACAGTTTTCAGAAATATATTTCTTCTATTTCTTCTACTTCATCTTCATCATTCATCATTCATCTTCTTATTCTTCTTTCTTCTTCTTCTTCATTTTCTTTTTCTTCTTCTTTTTCTTCTTCTTTTTCTTTTTCTTCTTTTTCTTTTTCTTCTTTTTCTTCTTCTTCTTTTTCTACTTCTTCTTCTTCTTCTTCTTCTTCTTCTTCATCATTAATCTTCATTTTTCTTCTTCTTCTTCTTCTTCTTCTTCATCATTAATCTTCTTTTTCTTCTTCTTCTTCTTCTTCTTCTTCTTCATCATTAATCTTCTTCTTCTTCTTCTTCTTTTTCTTTTTCTTCTTCTTCTTCTTCTTCTTCATCATCATCATTCATCTGAATGATGTAATTGCATAGAGTCTGTTTACAGCAGAGCTGTAATGTCTACAACTCTCTGTCAAATACATCAGACTCATCAGGCATTCGTATACCAGGTTAACCTTCCCACAGAAAGAGATTTAATTTCTGTCTACTTTTAAAATGTATTTATTTTAGAGAGATGGTTCTCACATTGGGGATATGATACCTGGTAATTCTATCCTTTCTAAAACCTCACTGTACTTCTTGAAATTATTATGTGTAACTTCCCAAATATCTTTTTATGTGAATACATAAAGACTGCAGAAACTCAGCCAACAGATTACCGTATTTTTTTCCATATAAAGACAATTTGTTTTCTAAAATTTTTCATTTTATACCGAAGGTCGTCTTATACAACGAAGGTGTTTAAAATATTTATTTCCAAATTTCTGGCTAAACAAATTAAAAGTCCCTTAAACATGGAAAAATACAGTAATCTTAACATTGTGTGGAAGTTTGTCAATGTCAATTAGGAACATAATGTCCATATTCATTTATATATTTGTATATAAACATATAAAAACACAGCTTGTTAAAGGATGTGCTAGAGAAAACAGGAGGGGATGCATGCAAGAGAAAAATGTCACGTGGAAAGACAACATAAAAATATTATCTGAAAGAAGACTGAGTGCACCGTGCAGGGCAAAGGATAAAGAGACTCATAAAAGCCGACCTTCATTGCGCCTGGCGATGACAAGGGGTTCAATTATCTGTCAATATATTAACATGAGTAGTGAGGATGTTGTCAACATATTGATCTGAACAGTGGAGACATACTGTGTATCTGTCAACATATTAATCTGAACAGTGCAGGCATACTGTGTATCTGTCAACATATTAATCTGAACAGTGGAGACATACTGTGTATCTGTCAACATATTCATCTGAACAGTGGAGACATACTGTGTATCTGTCAACATATTCATCTGAACAGTGGAGACATACTGTGTATCTGTCAACATATTCATCTGAACAGTGGAGACATACTGTGTATCTGTCAACATATTAATCTGAACAGTGGAGACATACTTTGTATCTGTTAACATATTAATCTGAACAGTGGAGACATACTGTGTATCTGTCAACATATTATTCTGAACAGTGGAGACATACTGTGTATCTGTCAACATATTGATATGAACAATGCAGACATACTGTGTATCTGTCAACATATTGATCTGAACAGTGCAGACATACTGTGTATCTGTCAACATATTGATCTGAACAGTGCAGACATACTGTGTATCTGTCAACATATTGATCTGAACAGTGGAGACATACTGTGTATTTGTCGACATTTTGATCTGAACAGTGGAGACATACTGTGTATCTGTCAACATATTCATCTGAACAGTGCAGACATACTGTGTATCTGTCAACATATTAATCTGAACAGTGCATACATACTGTGTATCTGTAAACATTATTCTGAACAGTAGAGACATACTGTGTATCTGTCAACATATTAATCTGAACAGTGCATACATACTGTGTATCTGTCAACATATTAATCTAAACAGTGCAGACACACTGTGTATCTGTCAACATATTAATCTGAACAGTGCAAACATACTGTGTATCTGTCAACATATTCATCTGAACAATGGAGACATACTGTGTATCTGTCAACATATTGATCTGAATAGTGCAGATATACTGTGCATCTGCCAAAATATTAATCAAAACAGTAGAAGTCATTGAAGTACTCAGGGCCGCAGCTAATCTGCAAACAGGTCATCCCATAGCTGCTGCAATCCTGTGCAAGTGGGTATCCAATAAAACGCTTATAACTGTCCCATTTGAAAACTAATGAACAAACAATTAACCCAGGAAAAATTGAGAAACAGGCAGTAAATGCATGAAGCTGCTGCTGTATATCTGTCAAAATATTAATCAAAACATAGCAAACACACTGTCTATCTGTTAACATATAAATCCTTACAGTGCAGACATATTGTCTGTCTGTCAAAATATAAATCAAAACAGAGCAAATATACTGTCTATCTGTCAACATATAAATTCTAACAGTGCAGACGTACTGTGTATCTGTCAACATATTAATCTCTACAGTAGTGGTCATCGTTGTAGTCAAGGCTGCAACTTCACTGCAAACAGGTCAATATATACATTTGAAAACTTGCTCTCTTCATCAATCTGAACAAGACAAATTCCTTTGGAAACTTGCTCTCTTCATCAAACTAAACAAGAAATGTAGCTTAAAAAACTTGCTTTCTCCATTAAAACTAAGCAAGACATATAGCTCTGGTAACTTGCTCTCTTCATCAAACTAAACAAGACATGTAGCTCTGGAAACTTGCTCTTTTTAACAAACTCAACAAAACATTTACATGTGGGAACTTGCTCTCTTCAACAAACTCAACAAGATATTTACATTTGGAAACTTCTTCTCTTCAACAAACTCAACAAGATATTTACATGTGGAAACTTGCTCTCTTCAACAAACTAAACAAGACATTTACATTTGGAAACTTGCTCTATTCATCAAACTAAATACGGCACATACCTTTGGAAACTTGCTCTCTTCATCAATCAGAGCCAGCATGTTCATGGGCTTGGCAGCGATCAGATCCAAGGCTTCCTGGTTGTCCAGGAACTCTATGTGCTGCCAGTTGATCCCTTCCAGGTTGTACTCGGCCTGTTCCAGCTTGAAGATGTGCCTCACAAAGAACTGCTGCAGGTTCTCATTAGCATAGTTGATGCACAACTGCTCAAAACTGGTAATGACCAGAGAAATCATGAAAAGAATGTGACAATAAAGAATGCCTATGCAGTTATTAACTCATAGGGACATGGACAAAAAGGCAGACCCCCCCAAAAAAAAACGCATGAAGAAAGGAGCTGAAGAGTGAATTTTAAAATATGGGGAGGACATGGGGTAAGCTGCATGTAACAGCGAAGAAAATAACGACTTGGTATGATTGGTTGAGATATAATTATTGTTAAAACCATGTGACATTAAATAATGATTGATAAAAACCATGTGAAATTAACTCTTTTGAAACCACAGGACAGTTAAATTAGTTATAAATCTACTAGTGACATGTTCCACAGTAATGAACTAGCTGATTAATTATCAACAAAATATGGTGATGATATAAAAAAAATCAATAAAATAGTGTGAAACCCAGTTGCATTATTATGATAAGAGATTTGTTTCACTGTTATTACAAGACCATACGCATAATGTTTGTTTGTTTTAGTATCCAGAAGCCATGAGTTGTTAACCCTTAGGCTTGGTATTATGGATATCGCAACCTTTCGGCCTTGATTCCATTGTAAATACCGTAAATCTTGGAGAAATGTGGCTTTTCTGCCTACCCCCCGGGAGTGAACCCAGACCACAAGGAGTTTGTCACCCGGTCACCGCGCAATCCGGTTTAGCCAACTACGCTAGAGAGCCGTGCACCAGACGTATATAGCTTACCTATTTTTGTCAAAGTTTTCAAATCCAAAGATGTCAAGCACGCCAATAGATTTACGAAACTGGCTCCCTTTTGGTTTGTAGATAGCTTCATTTATCTTGTCAACAATCCAGATGAACATCCGACCATAAATCCCCTTCACAAAAGCATCACGCACATCTAGAGACTGTTCTTTGTTCATTGTGAATGTTACACTCTCTCCTTTGGTCACAATGGTTCTCGTTGTCAGGGCATCGACCAGGTTCTGAGCGTTCACCTATAGCAGATGTGTGAGAAGGACATCAGAAAATTGTTGCTGAAGTATTTATTTTAAATAAATAATGAAATGTTGATATTAAAAACTTAAATGGAAAACACATAAAGACAGCAAATAAAATATTTTGACCACTTTAAGACAATGCCTTTTCTGTACCAGACAGAAATGATGTTATCAATGTCATAAACACCATGTATAGCAAAGGTGAATACAGCAAAGGGCATGAATTCATACCCGTCTAGACTGATAGACATGGGGGCTTAGTATTCTCGATGTATGGTGTCCGCTTTGAATGCTGGAGGTCTCAGGTTCAAGCCCCGGTGAAGGCTAGGATTTTTTCACATGGACTTGTAGTAATGTTCCCTGGTCTCTGGGTAGTGAGATCGAATGCCCATGTGTATTCTTGCGCATGTAAATATCTCTTTGCAGTTTGAAATTGGAAAGAGTAGCCTAATGGCTCTGCCCGGGCAAAATTTAGAGTTTAAAATCTACCCAAAGTATTTGAGGATCCTCACCGGTGCAACAGAGTTCATGCACTGTACTGAGATTCTTCAGATTCAGGCTTGAGTTAGAAGCAGAACGGAGTACTTATGGGTTACACCAGTCGAATAAACATAAACAAGACTGATGGACATGGGAATGAAACCTGGAGCTGCAAGAAATATGAACATTTCTCCAAGGAGACTAGATGTTTAATTAATCAACACTGAACAACAGTCATCAGTCGTTCTATGCTGGTGGAGCTTTTGAGAGAGAGATTGGAGCATCTTAGGATCTATCCAGTGTGTTGTGATGATAATCCTCACTGGTAACTAATCTTTAAGTCAATGCCTTGTGACGGCACACCATACAAGATATGCACCAAATGAGAGCAGGATGTACAACAAGAGATAGATTAAGAACAAGATGGACACACAACATCAGATAAACTCTACAGCAGTACAATAAATCTAGGGGTGAGATGGCCAGAAGAGCACAAGAAGCAGAACCTTATATCTCTCTGTGGATGCCAAAAATGATAAAAATAGGAAAAGAAGAAGAAATGAAAACATGCTGGCAATGGGTAATTCTAAGAACTAAACAGAAAAGTTAAACAGTACATTATAAGAACAAAACTGTACACAGGATATTTATATTGTAAACCATAATAATAATGATCCAGATCACTTTAAATATATCTACAGACAGATAACGCAATGTGATTAAGCAGTTATTGAAAAGTACATTTATATTTAAACAATCTGTGTGATCTATAATCTTGTTTTAATAAAAAACATTTCAGATAATAACTCAGGAACGGTAATAACTAAAAAAAACTCGCTTTATTTAATAACTTGCACAACAAAAGGGGTCAAGAAATTATGTATGAATACAGTGATAAAAGTAGAGTTTACTGTTGGAAACAAAATAAGTTAACTTTGAATGTTCACCTCAAGTTGCCTGGCCACTTTGTTGATGTATGAAATATCCTGGATCTCTGTTGCAGCAAGGTTATCCAATTCAATTTCTGCAGAAAAAAATTATGCAACAAGTAGAATAAAGAGCCCTTTTCCAAAACTTAACTCTTTTGGTACCAGGCACTGAATACGTTATTTTTTTTTTTTCTATGAAATTGTTACTTTTAGTAATGATTGTGAAGAGCTGAAGAGTTAAAATAATAAAACTACAGGGCAGCAGGAGTTCAAAAATCAACTGGAGCGGAGTGGGTTAGTGAAAAAAAAAAAAAATGCACAGGTCACACTGAGTTAAGATAAATACAGTAAAATCTCATGAACTCAAGATCAGTGGCAACAAAAATGAAGAGTTTGTATGAAACCATTGATGCTAACCGAAGACTAATAGATTAATTATGAATAATAGATCTCTGCTATGACCAAACTCTTGTTCACTGTAAAGTAAAACCTGTATGGTAAAACTTCATTAATATGAACTCATTTAGGATGAACATTTACTTGGTTAACATGAACAAAATGTTGGTTCCAGCAGCCATGTATTATTCATAAAATATCTATTAGTCCTGGGTTAGCATCAATTTTTTTACAGAAACTTTATGTTTGTCTGGTCCTTTGCAATTTGTGTTAACTAGATTTTACTGTAAATCATGTGAGCTAAGACCAGCTAATGTATGTTTAGTAGCTTAGGGCGTATCTGTATATGGTATTAGTCACATATGTATAGGCCCGTCGATGCTCGACATGTGACCTAATTTATGCTGGCAAGGTTTATTTCTCTGAACAATTTCACATTCCGATCTTAGGCTGGATCAACTCTGCAGATCAATGAAATTGTTTAAATCCATATTTTGATGGTCTTGGGTGCAAACTTTAACTGTTCTAACAAGAATACAATCTGCATACTATGCCCTTCAACATCTGCTAAAGTCAAAGTCTTTATCTCACAATACCAAAATCAAAATATATGTTGCTGTTTGTGTTCACCTGCTGTAAATTTCGGTGGAAAAAACTGGTTGTTCATCCATTTCTAGACTTTGGCTTTGTTCCAGGGCCTAAGTTTTGTGTGCGCATCTGTTTTACAGAACTTGCTTTTTTGTATGCTGAATATTGGTTCCTTGCTTCTCATACAGATGTACACCAACTCTGAAGACACACCCTCAATTAGTCGACTCTTATGACATGCTTGTTGATGAGGCAGTGGGTCTATTCTTGGTTTCCCGACAATGGGACCCCAGAACCCACACGGATCAAAACATATAAAACTTTATAAGACCAGTTGTTTGATACGGCTCTGAAACTTGAAGCACAACTAAAAATGATTAAGCCTTATTATACACTTTCTAAAACAAGAGTCTTATGACAAATCTTTGGACCCATCAAAGATGCAAATAATCTCTTTAAATAACCACTGATCACTGGCATCATGAGAGCTAATATACTGAAATGGCTGGGACATATTCAGAGATGACAGAGAGGTAAAAAAAAAACTGTACTAAAAAAAAAAAGGAGCTGAATGGTCATAGATCACGAGGCAGACTAAGAAAACTATGGAGAGATAATATCCAGACAGACCTACAAACACTTGGTATCACCAACTTGGAAAAGAAGACCAACCAGAGACATGAATGGAGACGAGTGACATCTGCAGCAATGAACCTTATGGGCTTGTAATGCTCAAGAAGGGGAAGAAGAATATCAGGATGGTTATGACAGAATACAAGCAGTATAAACGTTTTGCTGTCTGCTGAAGATGAGGACGGAGTGCTTATGGGAAGTAACCCAAGTGCTGCAATGCCAGTTCTTAGCTCAACACTAAAAGCTCAAGCAGTATAAAGTAATATCTAGTGAAAGCAGCAAAACATAATCAAAGGAAGAAGATGATGCCTTGAAAATATTCGCACTGTGCCTCATAATTTTTTTGGCAAGGGGAGCTCTCCAATGGGTGGCAGATGGACAGATAATGAGACATGGAAGACCTTAGGAAACCTGGAAAAGGACAGTTGAAAGGTAAATGAAAGAATGCAAAATGACATGGGATAGTATATGCAGAAAGCAGCAGCAGACCAGCACATGCATACACTCTTCCTCCTCTTTCTCTGCCCTTATCACCCCCCCCCCCCCCATGCCTTTTTTTTTCCACTGGAGCATAAGGTACTCAATCAAGTTCTGCCATCATCCTATCCCTTGCTATTGCATGCACTCACCCCATGACTACCCTATCTTTTTAACTTCAATCTCTAGTTCTCTTCACTGTGTATTTTAGGGTCTGCCTTTATTCATTTAACCCTGTGAGTTCCAGTGAAAAGACATTATAGTTATCCAGTTATAAGGTTTTCTTAACATAGCACAAGACATAAACATACCATTGTATTTAACATTGCCGAGGTGAAGCAGTGCTGAGAGGATTTTGAGAATCTCCCACAGATCAGAGTCTTCGAACATGAGAACCTTCATGGCAGAACGGATGTCAGCAAAATCCTTCTTGTCATCCCGGCCTTCACAGACAATACTGCCTCCCTAGTGGAAGAATACATATTTCATCAGAGATAGAATAAACTTACATCACATAACCGTCACCTATTTATCCTCTCCTTCTTCTTCTTCTTCATCTCATTCTTATTCTTCTTCCTCCTCCTTAATCTCCTCCTCCCCATTCATCTTCCTCGTCCTTCTCCTCTTATTCTTCTTATTCCTCATTTTTTTCTTCCCCTCCTTCTCCCACTTTTTCTTCTCCTCTTTCTCCTACTCTTGCTCTCCTTCTTCTTCTCCTACTTTATCCTCCTTCTCCTCCACCTCTTATTTCTTCTCTTACCCCTACTCTTGCTCTTAATTCTCCTTCTTGTTCTTCTCGTTCTTCCTTTTTAATATTGTTATTCCTATATGATTTTCTCCTCTTCCTCCTTCTTCCCTACACCTATTTTGCTTTGGCAATAATGAACAATAACTTATTTCTTAACATAGCAAAAATAAAGATAATGCATACAAACAAAACTGCCATGGAGAAGGAAATATATGTTAATGAGGAAAGATTGGAAGTGGTGGGAAATTTCGAATATCTTGGGTCACTGGTTACCAACAATGGTGACACAATGAAAGAAATTAAATGGCGACTATCAATTGCTCTTCAAAGACTAGAACAACTGAATAAATTATGGAATTGTACAGATAGAATTACAAAGGTCAGATTTTTAAGAGCATGCATCTTTCCCATTGCAACATACGCCTGTGAGACCTGGACACTTACTAAACAAGCGGAACAGCGCATAAATGCATTTGAATATAAATGTTACAGACAGGTTCTAAGAATATCTTGGGTAAAGAAAAGAACAAATGCATCCATACTTCAAGAGCTGAATATTGAAGAGGGTTGGCTAGTAAAGACAATAAAACAAAGAAAATTGAAATATTTTGGTCACTTGAAACGTCATGGAAGTCTAGAGAGAACAATAATGGAGGGGTATTTGCCTGCGAAGAGAGGAAGAGGAAGGCCAAGGAGAAGATGGGTGCAGGATGTGGCAGATGATCTCCAGATGGGTGTATCAGACGCAGGACATCTTGCTCAGGATCGGAAGGTTTTCCGGAGGGTTGTTATGGCAGCGAGGTTCCGCGAGAGACATGCTACTGAATGAATGAATGAATAATGAACAGATAAAACAAGGCTATTCAACAGCAACCAGTGAGTTGAATCCAGCCTGTGGAGGTCTAGTCTGTGGAGGTCTAGTCTGTGGAGGTCTAGTCTGTGGAGGTCCAGCCTGTGGAGGTCTAGTCTGTGGAGGTCTAGCCTGTGGAGGTCTAGTCTGTGGAGGTCTAGTCTGTGGAGGTCTAGTCTGTGGAGGTCTAGTCTGTGGAGGTCCAGCCTGTGGAGGTCCAGCCTGTGGGATCTAGGTGGAGTCTGCCTGTGGAGGTCTAGCCTGTAAAGGTCTAGCCTGTAAAGGTCTAGCCTGTAAAGGTCCAGCCTGTGGAGGTCTAGCCTGTGGAGGTCTAGCCTGTGGAGGTCTAGCCTGTGGAGGTCTAGTCTGTGGAGGTCTAGTCTGTGGAGGTCTAGCCTGTGGAGGTCTAGCCTGTGGAGGTCTAGCCTGTGGAGGTCTAGCCTGTAAAGGTCTAGCCTGTGGCAGTCTAGTCTGTGGAGGTCCAGCCTGTGGAGGTCTAGCCTGTGTAGGTCTAGCCTGTGGAGGTCCAGCCTGTGGAGGTCTAGCCTGTGGAGGTCCAGCCTGTGGAGGTCTAGCCTGTAAAGGTCTAGCCTGTGGCGGTCTAGCCTGTGGAGGTCCAGCCTGTGGACGTCTAGCCTGTGGAGGTCTAGTCTGTGGAGGTCCAGCCTGTGGAGGTCCAGCCTGTGGAGGTCCAGCCTGTGGAGGTCCAGCCTGTGGAGGTCTAGTCTGTGGAGGTCTAGTCTGTGGAGGTCCAGCCTGTGGAGGTCCAGCCTGTGGAGGTCCAGCCTGTGGAGGTCCAGCCTGTGGAGGTCCAGCCTGTGGAGGTCCAGCCTGGGGAGGTCTAGTCTGTAGAGGTCTAGTCTGTGGCGGTCTAGTCTGTGGCGGTCTAGCCTGGGGAGGTCTAGTCTGTGGAGGTCTAGTTTGTGGCGGTCTAGTCTGTGGAGGTCTAGTCTCTGGAGGTCTAGTCTGTGGAGGTCTAGTCTGTGGAGGTCTAGTCTGTGGAGGTCTAGTCTGTGGCAGTCTAGTCTGTGGAGGTCTAGTCTGTGGAGGTCTAGTCTGTAGAGCTCTAGCCTGTGGAGGTCTAGTCTGTGGAGGTCTAGTCTGTGGAGGTCTAGTCTGTGGAGGTCTAGTCTGTGGAGGTCTAGTCTGTGGCAGTCTAGTCTGTGGAGGTCTAGTCTGTGGAGGTCTAGTCTGTAGAGCTCTAGCCTGTGGAGGTCTAATCTGTGGAGGTCTAGTCTGTGGCGGTCTAGCCTGTGGAGGTCTAGCAAGTAGAGGTCTAGTCTGTGGAGGTATAGAAAGTGGCCTCTGGATCACTGGCAGCTGTAATGTAGCAATGATCTCGCTATGCTTTGACTCAGGCCTCTGGCCTGTGATAATCCCTCACCTTCAACATTCTGGCCCCTAAGTAACCTTAGCTGAATACCCTTTAGATCAGTGGTTCTCAACCTGCTGGTCATGACCCTTTTTTTGGGTCGAACGACCCTGTCACATGGGTCGACTAAGACCATCGGAAAACACACATTCACTGACATTATAAAGGAACATAATTGTTTTGGTGTCGCCACAACATGAGGGAACTGTATTAAAGGGTCGGGGCATTAGAAAATTTGAGAGCCACTGCTTCAGATGTAATACATGATCAAATAAATGTGAAATGATCAAGTTCAGCTGACCTGTATCAGGTACTGGTAATGATGGGCATCCTGTAGTTCCAGTTTGGCTTTGTCTTCTGCTGACAAGCCAGACAGCATGCAGTAGAAGATATGGTAGTTCCTCTCATCATGCATCTGGCTGACAATACGAGATTTCTCCAGCAGGTACTGCTCGATCCTGGCTCCCTCTATGACACCTTTCTCATTGAAGTGGATGTCAATGTATTTGCCGAATCGGCTGGAGTTGTCATTGCGGATAGTTTTGGCGTTGCCGAAGGCTGGTGAGAAAAGATTAGCAACAGCTGAGATAATTATTTATAAAGGTTAGATTCAAGAGACTTTAAATAAGGGGAGATAAGCTGATATCCGACACAATTCACTGTTGGGGTATATAATTAGAGGTAAGTTTTATAAATCAAGATAAAATAGTAATTTAAAATAGAAAATAATGAAGGAAGTAAATTACCAAGTGAAAGAACTTCATTTTCAAAACTAGAAAAAAAAACAGATAGGTAGAAAAAGGAAGAAATTATAAAGGGAGAAATATTTAAGAAGGAGATGAATTAAAGAGAGTAACTAAGACAGAAAATTTTATACAGTTTAGCATCACATACTAAAATGATTGGTAGTATATTTGGCAGAAGCAGTGGACTGATAGGATAATCAACACCACATGACATGGATTATAAGATAAAGATGGCGTAGAAATTAGATCAGCAAAGTTTTAAGCAGGAGGGAGGTTTTGATAATTGAATGTGAGATGAGAATGGCGGAGGTTCACTGGGCGAAATATAAGATAACTGATGATGTGATAATTTAAAGACAGATACAACTGTGGTGATAAGTTTGAGGGGATGTATAATAAAATAAGATGATCTGATGCAAGATTTAATGGACACGCAGGTCAGCAGAATAAATGTTTGGGGGTTATGTTAGTTTCTAAAGGAGAAATTAGTTGGTGTCTTGAGCAGTAAGGTCAGTGGATATAAGTGGATGCAAGAATAAATCATGTGGCAACCTGATAGGGAATATACTGACTGGACATAGATTGTGGTGAACTTAGTAAGTGGATATACTCAGTCATCTACTATTGACTGGACATGGATTGTGGTGAACCTAGTAAGTGGATATCCTCACTCATCTACTTACTGACTGGACATGGATTGTGGTGAGCTTAGTAAGTGGATATACTCACTCATCTACTACTGACTGGACATGGATTGTGGTGAACTCAATAAGTGGATAAACTTACCTAATTACTACTGACTGGACACGGATTGTGGTGAACTTGGTAAGTGGATATATTTACTTATCTACTACTGACTGGACAAGGATTGTGGTAAACTTAGTAAGTGGATATATTTACTCATCTACTACTGACTGGACATTGATTGTGGCAAAAGTAAGTGAATATCCTCACTCATACTTACTACTGACTGTGACTCTAGTAGTATCCTCACTTGATTGGGAATGGCAGTGTGGTGTAAGTGAAAATATCCTCACTCATCTACTACTGACTGGACATTGATTGTGGCAAAAGTAAGTGAATATCCTCACTCATCTACTACTGACTGGGCATGGATTGTGGTGAACTTAGTAAGTGGATATCCTCACTCATCTACTACTGACTGGGCATGGATTGTGGTGAACTTAGTAAGTGGATATCCTCACTCATCTACTACTGACTGGACACGGATTGTGGTGAACTTAGTAAGTGGATATCCTGACTCACCAACTGATATAAAATCTGTCACATTCACTCACTCTGTATCTTGCTTTTTACCTCTGTTAATATTATTTTTGTATTCAGTCTCTTTGACTCTCACCTTTCTTTCTGGTTGACTTGTTCACTGATTATCTTTTTAGGTATTTCTCTTCATTCTCCCCCTTTGTCTATCTCTTACTAACTCTGTTTCTTCATTCGCACGCCCTCTGTCATACATTCTCTTATATTTATGACGCTCTATTGTATATTATATATATATATATCCTAGATATATATACACATGATATATATATTATATAATAAAACAAACCTGCCATGATAGGACTGGCCTCCTAGATCCACTGCTCTATCCATGAATGCTGCCCTAAGACTGCTACCAGAACTTCTGCATTTTTCACATTCAGTGTGTCTCAGTGCCTTTCTCTAACTGACTCACTGACTGACTGAGACTGACTGACTGACTGACTGACTGACTGGACCCTGACTGACTGACTGACGACACCTGATCTGACTGACTGACTCTGCACTGACTGACTGACTGACTTCACTGACTGACTGGACTCAGACTGCCTGACTGACTGACTGAACTGACTGACTGACTGACTGAGACTGACACTGACAGACTGACTGACTGACTGACTGACTGACTGGACAGACAGACAAGACAGACAGGACAGAAGACAGGACTGGACTGACTGACTGACTGACTCACTGACTGGACACACTGCTAATAGACTGACTGACTCACTTTGACGCTGACTGACTGACTGATCTGGAAGACATCCCAGACAGACAGACAGACAGACTGACACTGACTGACTGACTGACTGACTGACTGACTGACTGACTGACTGACTGACTGACTGACTGACTGACTGACTCACTCACTCACTCACACACTCACTCACTCACAAACAAATAAACAAACCTTCCATGATAGGATTGGCCTCCAAGATCTGCTGCTCTATCCATGAATGTTGTCCCGAGACTGCCGCCAGAAATTGGAGGATCAGTTTGGTACTTTCTGTCTTCCCCGCTCCAGACTCGCCACTGAGTATTTGAGGACGATGATGAAATTACCCATGGTGGGAAATAAAAAAGTAGATTTAAGCAATACATATTTACACAGCTTATCATTCAACATGTTTACACACATGAGTCAAAGACCATTTTACACTATTAAACAAAGAACACTTCTGGTTTTAAACTCATTGCTGCAGAAACAGTCTTCTAATACATTACAATGAAGAAAAATACAAACATTTTTAACAAGATCCTTAAAGCATGTTAAACACATATGAGGGCAACTATGGTTCTGAAATCACATTTTCTAACTGTGAGAGACTTTTCTCAACACAAGCGGGTCTTTCTGATCACACTCTGTGTCACCATGGGTTGTGATTGCCATAACTCCTTACTGCAAAGTACAAAGACTATCATCTGGACAGACACAAAGGTGAAAACTAATATGGAAGAAACTGCTTTGTAAACAACATGCGAGATCAGATGTATAATAAATGTGCTGAGAAAACACAAAGAGACAATAATCAATGGAAAACTAAGAACAATAGTAGGCACAGTATAGAAAATGATTTCACAGAACATCAAAGAATCAATTGGTTTGGTCATCTTATTATTGGGGGGTGGGGGGGGGGGAAATAGCCAGCAGCTAGAGCCCACTACACAAGAACAGCAAACTACAAAGCAAGAGGCTGACCAAGAAAAAGATGGGTGCAGGGAGTAAAAGTGAAACTACAGAAACGCAATAGGAAACTAAATATAACTCCTCTCTGTGATGTTTTAGACATTATTAGTAGGACAAAAGAGAAAACAGAAAGTTGTCTTGGAAGCTGAAATAATTTGTCCAGATCAAATGTTACAGTAGTTTAAAAAAGAACTGTAATGAAAGGCATCATTCTTGGAAGAAGAGGCAGGGGTTGACTAGTTGACAGACGATGAACAGTCAACACTGAAGACCCCTATATGCATGAAAGTACATGAGGCAGGGAACTAGCACAAGACCACAGGCATTTCTAGCAGACCTTGATACGAGAAACTTCAGCAAAGAACCTGCTTCATGATGAAGATGTTCAACACCTGACACTTCTTCTTCAAGTTCCTGCTTGGACGAGTCATCAGCAATCATGACTCTCTGAACTTCTTTTACGAACATATATTTTGACAAAGTAATATTATTTCTAGGAGCAGCTGACTGAAAGGTAAAGAATGCTGAGCTGTCATGCCCTAATATAACCTAAAGGTTGAATAGGGTTTATGGGACTTGTGCCCTGGGGATTCTCAGCTGAATGGCAGCACTTTGTGTGGCCTAGGTGTTTATCGTTCCGTTGTGTGGTCCTGGTGGAGGTTGAACCTCACTCACTCAGACAGACATTTGTATGAGTGACCATGTAGCCTGGTTACCTGATAATAACACACTGGTCATGCTGGTATCTCTTCATGCTGCTGTAGGAGTTGTCAGCGATGGCAAAGATGTGAGGAGGCAGCTCTCCGATCTTCTTATCCCGGTACTGCTGGATCTGCTCCGATGTGTAGATGGGGAGGATTTCATAGGGGTTCACTGCAACTAGGATGGATCCGGTGTAGGTCTGACAGTTTGACAAATATAAATAACGATTAGGAATA